CCCTGGTGTTGTTGATATTCATGAATGTTGAACAAATGGTGTCTTTTGGTATTTAAAAGCTTAGAAGAAATTGCTTCTTGAGATGAATAACACTACTCTGAACCATCACGTTGTTAACATCCACACTAAATAGTGTGCATGTACATCCATCTGACTCATGAAAAATGTGAAATGAGCTTCACCACCTAAGCATTATTTAAAAATACATCACAATAGAATGACATGTACTGTCTATATGTAAATTGTCATCTCGTCAGTTTATATTTGTTCTTTACTTTTCAAGATAATAGTTTGAATATGCCTTCTCTTAGTAGTTTACATCATGGATCGACTTTAGTTAAATAACCATTGAGAATCAGGAAGTACCAGACGGCTGTTTGGTCCTATCATGGAACGGTTCAACGGTTCACATGTTGAGTGTGATGCACTTAAGCACCAATGACATTGGACGCCAGTTGCACAGTATTTCAAATTAACTGAAGTCGAAAATGTAAACTATTAGATGCCAGCATAATGATCTGAACGTTCGGCGCTTGACACAAAACTCCAAGTCGTTGATTACATCTCCTATAGAGTCATGAAATCATTGCTTCCTGATTTTCAGTTGTTATCTAACCAAAGTCATCCTGTGATGTAAGTTACGAAATCTAGTATTCTATCTAATGCATCTACTAAAAATTTTGACAACTGATTCATTGATTTCTTTACCCAGTTCGAATGTTCTTTCAATATCATGCAATTAAATTATTTACATGTCTCGCTTAATCATCATATTTCAACTGACCATCATCTTAGAATAATATCTATAGTGTTGCCCCAGCTAAACATATCTCGAGCTCTCAATTTTCGGGAAGCCGCTATAGGAAACTTTGGGGAAATTCCCCTTTAATCTTGGTGAAGGTCATTTGACTTTGGGGATTTCCCCAAACTTAGGAGATTGGGTGGATTCACAACTAACTAGTAACTATGTTGTACTAATGAGTTATATTATGAAGAAATAATTTGAGGTTCTGAGAATTTCTAGTTTCATATCTATGTATCTATCTACCTCCCCCTCGCTCTCTCTCAGTACTTTATAATTGGTTCCTATACAATGAACCGTTGGTTACAGACAAGCTACATAAAATTTACATTCTAGGATATAAATTATTTCCCTTTGACATGAATATGTTCAGATAATCCTTTATCACTCTTCAGAATAAGTATTTTTTATCTACACTTTAAGCTAACATATTTGTTTCACATATGATAAACTATTCCTTAAACAGGTCGACTTGGAGACCGGTAAAATGTTACATATTAAAACATTGGCTGTCGGTGAATTAACCAAAGCCGGGGAACGTGAAGTATTCTTCGAAATGAATGGCCAACTTAGATCAATTTTGATTAGTGATAAAGAAGCTACAAAGGTACGTTTGAAGATATGTTTCTCTAATTTCCCTTTTTACTGATCCCTCCAAACTAATCTACCTAGTACGAAGCTTGATATTGCCCGGTATTCAGGGATCAGTCGATGTATTTATCTTGGTTATAAAAGATATCCGTTTACAATTGGGTGATCACTGGGTGATGATCAATGTTATGTGTGTCAGGGCCTTCTTAGTGCAGATCGAATTCTATCGACCAAGTCGCAATGTGGCCACTGGTCTAGGTGACCCGAAATCGCGTGCACCATGTTGAGATAATATGATGGTTGGAAGTAGTCGACAGGAGGATACCCCTGTTAAATATAAGATTATTTTTCTGCTGTACAACATAACACAAATTTAGGAGATGTAGAAGACAAGACGCGTGACTTAAATTTACTAGATTGTGACTGATTAACTGAAGGAAAAGATGAAAAAAGGCCAAAATGTTTAGTTCACTTGTATTACTAAGGCAGTTGATGGTTAACCACTGACTCTTTCTGAACACAAAGGTCAGATTTGAGCCTTCGAATTGCTATTTTTACGAGATAATTGACAATTTGCATGGATTCTTCATGCACTTTGTATACCGTATTTAAAGGTTGGCGTGTAGTCGAACTCAGAAAACCTTTTTTCGTCGAAAACATAGGTATTTGGGAATATGGTCGAAAAAATGTGTAATCCTCATCTTATTTTTTTTGTTTCTAGTCGATATCGTTTCATCCGAAGGCTTTGAAAGGTGTCAAAGGCTCCGTTGGTTCACCAATGCCTGGTGAATTAGTAACAATCAATGTGAAAGACGGAGATGTTGTAGAGAAAGGTCAAAAATTAGCTACATTGTCAGCTATGAAAATGGAAATGAGCATAACAGCACCCATTTCAGGTTGTATTAAAAAGATTTACGTTTCCAGTGGAATGAAAGTATCTGGTGATGATTTATTATTCGATATAGAATAAAACTGTTCACTTATTTCAATATACTACCTATATTTAGCCTTTATTCTTTGATTTTATATTTGTATGTTATTGTGTGACAATCACCTATTAGCAGTCTTTATATTTTACTTTGATTCTATCGTGCTATTTATATTAAATTACAACAAAAGCAACAGCTTTAAAAAGAATATTTCCTTGACATTATACACATGAAGATAGATGTAAATCGAATTACTTTGGGGAGTACCCCTTCACAAACTGTATGCTTTTTGTTCTGTAGTTATCTTTGATTGCATAATTACAAATACAAACAAATCTTTATTTGTCTACTGTTGTTTTTTGTGAAACTGAATGTCAACAGGTTGTCTTTGCTTAGTTCGCCTTGATTTTGTTGTCAGTTACTTTACGGTTGTGTTGGGGAAAAAATTCCCTAGAACGAAAGTCTATTATCTTAAAGTTTTCCTGTTGTCGCTATTAAAACAATCTCACAAAGTCAAACATAGTTTTCTCCCGATAACTTTCACGTACTCAATATTAAGGCAGTACTGGCGATATCGGATTACTTGGAACTATGTATACGTTGCAACTTTGCAGATATAACCGAGTCTGTACTACTTGTTAGGTCCAATGGAACAGAACACTCGATGTCGAATAATTCAAAAGGCATTATTAGCTTTTCGAGATACTTATATATGAATGTAAATGGTTCTAAAGCAAATGATATTACACTTCGCACCACTCCTCAAATCCAGTGTCTTTCGCTCCAAATACCAACATGTTACGCTCTTGGCTACAGATTCTTGACAGTTGCTCGCCTGTCTAACCGCTGTGATGCTTGCACCATGCTCAAAAAGGGATGGGATTTTCCCATTGTTTATATTACTAGCTCAATCTCTATCAATCGTTAGTATGTGTGCCTTTGAGCCATGGTTTAGACATCAACATGCAGCTGACGAGTTTAAAGCTGTACGAAACGCGCATCTTCGATACAATCGGGCTCCTCGATAAAAATATATGCAAAATATCCACATCAACTCGGTACATATATGATGCATTGTTATTCCCTACCGGTCTTTACAGTGAGAAACAGCCAGTTTACGTTTGTCCAATACAAGGGATCAAATTCCCGTAATTATTAATTTTTTGATCGTTATACACTACAATAATACGAAGAACAAGACATTGGTCACTGCTCTGTGACCAACAAACATAAGCATTTTGGAATGGCTTTGCTTTTTCACAGTTGAGGATTTTATCAGATAAGCTCAAATGTAACTGAACTAAAAGTTATCAATAGTTTGATAGCAGTGTTTTCAAGGTCTAAGTGGATTGACGATAGGTATGTGCCATTATAGCTATAACATAACTACTTCGTGAATAATTCTCTAAATATATGTATTAGTTGGTGCAGATTATTGTGTAGTGTCTTCAGGATTTCAAACTTTGTTTTATTCATAAGTACGTGAATTTTTTATACCGAGTGTACATGTCTAGCTTGTGTAACTTCTACATATTGCTTCAAGGCGCAGTCCAGCTTGTATACCACAGATTGCCAACACGATAGTGTTTAGGTTTTTGCCTTTCTCCACGGAATTTCAGTACGTTTTTATTGCCATCTTAACAAATTCCTGGAATACATGATACAAAACGTCTCATCTGTTGAACCGTATCACACTGCTGAGTGAATAAGTATAAGTATAAAGGCTTTGAATATTTTGCTCAAAACTAAAAAACAATGAATGCTAGAATTCAGATAATGAATAAATTTCACGTTATCTGAAAAACCAAGTTGTGTGATTATTACGTTTTTGTTTATAACTGAGACGCACATTCACTTGGCCTGAGGTTCAGTCTAAACTAACGAAAGCAAACCCCCTACATACTGAATCTAAATAAATCACCTGGAATCACATCTTTTTATATTGTAGGGTCAATGAAGTATCACTGACCTCTAGCTAAAACGAGCAGTTGGGCACGGGATAAACGTCAGAGTCTTTTGAAGCTGCCTGCCCTTTCGTTTCAACGACCGTGAACGGCTTGGCAAGGGGCGGTCATTCTGTATTTCAATTGCCGTGGGTTTGTTAGGTTGCATGAGTATTAAACTTTTTCATATTTAAGTCATCTTTTGCCGCAGGTTGTTAGCAATAAATATATCCAACTACTACTAAATTGCAATAAATGTCATGTAACAAGCAAAAATATTACAAAAATTACCGTGAGACGGAAAGAAAATTGTTTATGGCTAGCAAATAACGACCTCTCAAAATCCTCGATAATATATCACATGCGCGCGAAAGCCGATGGCGAAACAGCCTGACTGTGCCCAGTAATTGGGTCACCGAACGTCAGACGATTAAACGATCCTCATGAAGGTCAAGGAAAACTAACGTACATCTGTTAATGGAACGCCATGTTCCATGATATAACTTTAGTAGTATTGTGTTAAAACTGATCGAAAGAGATGTCTAGCTCAGAGTCTTGAGGAGTTTTGCTCATACCAGTTGAACTAAACTTTACGATTACAGAGAGGAAGAAGGCCAATCCACCTTGATGCACCTTAACCTTGATGTTCAACAACGATAAAACATCAGCCTGAATAAAAGTTTAAGACTTAAAATCCGGAAAAAAACAAAAAGAAAGGAATAAGTTTAAATATATTGCATATTGAAACTTCGTTTTCTGAAACTGACGTTTCTAATCAAGGTCATTCAACGTCAATTTTTGTTCCACTCTAGTTCAGTAATCTGAGTTTTGAACGTAAGTCAAATTGAATAATTTGCAGTGTACATGGTTCACTCTAGCTATGTACTTTATTCTGTTACGCCTGTCTCGGCTTCTGTACCGTCCCATACAAAACTGTTCATTACATCCTAAATAAAAAAATAGTTGAAATAAAAGGTAACAAATGGAAAAGTGGTTTTGGGGAAGGTTTTTTTCCTTTTCTGTGGACAAATTTTCGTTCAAACATCTGAGTCGAACAATTAGTTTAAGTTCGCAGATCAGATGAGGTACGGAAATTAATGGCAAACTGAAGTATAATATACGTGGCAATGCATCAGATAATCACCTTTCCAGATCGTTATTAATATTAGGACATATCTCATGGTTTCTCACCTTTAGAGGAATTGTTTCCAAATGAATGCCATGAGACCAGATACTGTTTAGCATTTAACTTACCCTGAATTAGGTTATTAACAGACATCGAGGTACTGACTGATAATTACAGTTGTGTTTTGGTTGAATATGTACCAATCTGTGGCAGTAACAGACTTAGGTTCGTCAACTGCAAAGTAATTACTTTGCAGTTGTAGTCAGCGTTTGTAACAATCAAAATTTCAGATATTCAACTCTACTGTATCCAGCCGTACTTTGCAATATCTAAATCTATAGAATTATAAAAGTTCTCAGACGCTCTCTTGACCACGTCTCTGCAAACAATTAACAGAAACGCTGAATGTTTTGCGTTTTTCTGTTTGCAAGGGAAGTTAGTGACCAACTAAATCGTTAAGTGACTGACTCAAGTGAGACGCAGTAGAGAAAAACATCTGTAGGAAAATCATTTGTGTTTGCAAATGATCGAAGTACTGTAGAACCACACACGTAATAGTTGACCAACTCGTCCGGATCCACGTTGTTTGTTAACCTGATATACTCCAAGTTATCCGCATTCATGCAGTTTTTGATTAACAAGTCATTTACTTGCTATAAAGAAAATTTGCTTCTCAATCAATACATTATTTGCAGCGAGATTTTTGGATTTAAGTTTGAAAAAATTTCAACTTCACTTTGTTATTCAAAATAGTTCAGAAATGCAAACTTTCATTATAAAAACCTGTGTAATGGAGAACTATTACTTCATGGTCTACACAGTTTGTGGCTATATACACATGATACATTAATAGGTGCTCATATGTGCTCATGATTAACTACTAAATACGTGAATATTTCTATATCACAAAAAGGGAGTAATCCCATGAAAAAATCTATGGTTAACATAAGAACATGCTGTCAACAATTTGTCCGGCTTAACTCTTACTACGTTATCGGGTTTGAACGACTTCAACCGGTTTCTGAAAACGTCAGTTAACTAAACTATCGGTATTAGCAACAAATACTCCCTTGTATCCGATTACAGAGAAAATCTTTTCAGTATAACGCCAAACAGCTTATTTCCCTGCATTGTATCCGTAGTGTACTCTCATTTTTATCCCTTTAATATAGGAATCAAAGGGAAATGAGGAATATCAATATAAAGTATCACTCAGGTTGATGTTATCAATAGTGTGCTTTAATGAATGATTGTTGTAAACTAAGTGTTCGGCACCGTAACACAATATCGTGGAAAATTATTTAAATCCTTGCTCACAAGTTCAATGGGACTGACGCATAATTTGGATTTAGATAATAAATGAGTTAACGTTTATAAGTTTTCAAAATTAAAACAAAGAAGTAAGACTATGAGTTTTGCAGCTACCTATCTATTAAGCTTTAAACAGTCTAAACTAGGGTTTCCCATTTTTAGTTTGGAAATAAAGTCGACCGAAATCTCATTGTCAGTCAGTAACAACGTAGAACTTCGTACATACGTACATCAGTTCGTGTTGCCACACCACATTAGCACAGAAATGGTTCGGACGTTAAAAGCTCCTACGTGTAGTTTAAAGCGTGGTTTCAGGAGACCAGGAATAACGTTCCGCGTACTCGAATCGTTTGCCCTAGCTGTGCGAAGTGATAAATGGACGCGAGAAAGGTTAGTCGTGGAGATTAGAGAGGTATTAGGACGTGTAGGGAGGATTTGAATGTGATCAACTTGGTCTCGTGTGTTGTTACGGGTATTGATTATGGCAGGTCTCGTTTTTCATCAAAGGCGCCTACTAAGAAGACATCGCTAATATTAGGAGCAACAATGCGGTCTGATATAGGCCGTAATTGTTGATTAGATCTCTTATACAAGTACAGCCCATCTACATTTGTTCTCTAATCTGCATACTCAAGATTCAAAACGGACAAGCAAATTTCGACATATCTTAACAGACTGGTTTTTAGCCCGATATGGTAGTAAATACCACTCCCAATGAACTTTGACTCAACATTTCCGCACGTTTTTAAAACTCATGACACTTGCAGATAATTAAAGCATATACTTTTGTAATGTGTTCAAGATAAAATAAACTTTCCTGAATGTGATACCTTCCCTTCCATAATTTCCATTAAAGCCGCATCAATCTCTCCCTTTATAACTAGTGATTTAAATGGAGCTAATTCGTTATTCTGAAATGAACAAGTGCTTGTAATCCAGTCACATACAACTGCCACATTGTCTCAAGGTTTCTGGACAATAATCGTGGCAGGCAGATAGAACTGACTTCATGACTTTTTCATGTCGCAATAATGAGTTTAAAATTGGTTCCACTGCAGTGGTACAGTTCCATTCACTTTTTATCTTTTTTAAACCTAAAGTCACATGTCAATGATTTTTCATTCTTGAATTCCATTCATGTTTTCTATCTAATTGTCTCACGTTTAGATTTTCATTACAGTTGAAGTTATTTCGTCTTCGCTTCATTTTTTGAATTCGTTCCTTACAACTACTTAAACTGAGGGAATGTTTTGCTATTATGTTTGTCTGTCTGTTGCTTTTTTAGTAAGTGATATTGTCAGTAATTAATCTATTTTTGTTTTACCTTTACACATCACTAGGTCGTTTCAGTTTTTACAGTGCTTACATAAATATGGATTCATTTCTTATCAGCCAAGAATCTGGACATCCCATTGAAAAAGATTTCGCCTTCAATAACAATGTCGCTAATGCGCATGTAACAGTTCGACTAAGTAAGTTTGCTACACTGTCCATCCATAAAGGATATGACAGTATATCTACAGTTTCATAGTTTTAATAAACAATTTTTTCTATTAATGTTTCTCGTGAAACTGGTTTCATTAGAAGTTAATATCTATCAACGCAAGCTGAAGAACGAGAGGGTAGTCGGACAATTATTACATCTGTGATCTCATGTTCTTCATCAACTTGTAGATAACCATGTCAGATTTTCAAACGAATATAAGAACTGTAGAGTCAGTTTGTTGATTGTTTACGGAAACACATGCAGTGGGCATAATTATTTAACTTGAGCAAGCCACATTGAGGAAAATTTATGGCAATAAACACACTTTTAGAAAAATGGTAACCCAAAAAATTGAGTAGATCACTGTGTGTTATTTATACATATACTCCTAACATGTCGTGGTAACCGATGTTCTGGACTTACAAACATTCACCGTCTGTTTAGTTGACATTAATAATGAATATGAAACCATTAATCTTTCGACTTAAAATGTCTATTGTTGTCTTTTTTGAATTAAGGATTTTTACGAAAAGTCTACGGTATTCTATTCACACAACTTTTACTCACTTCATTATGTTCTGGAACAATGATGGTTTTAAAACCTGTTCTATTGGATAACCTTCAACAGAAGTACGTTGTTATTTTCTGGTGAACTGGTAATTTTTACTACTCGTTTTTATTTTTCTAGTACATGGTTACCAATTATACTTATTATAAGTACAATCGGAATTCTATTGGGATTAATGTGGAAAAGACAGGAAACACCAACTAATTTTATATTATTATACTTATTTGTAAGTTCATAAATATTTAATAATTCCCATTTAAAAAATATGGTTATCCTGTGTTTAGACTATATGTGAATCTATACTCGTGGGATATGCAGGTATGTAAGGTTATGTTGGTAGTCTTAACGACAAACGTTTAAAATTATCATGTATTTTAAATTTACCGATTGATTGTTTATTCTTAATATAACAGCGTTTTATTGATTTCAATTTTTATCATTAAATCATATGCCAATGTAATCTATTAAAGATAGTGGAGAAGATATATAGCTTAGAAGGACGACTGTAGTAAGAATACGATCCATAACGTCCATTTTTTGGCTACATAATGCTCACGCTTTTTATACCGATGATAGATTCCAGTAAAAAGATTGAGAAACTACCAGGAAACCTTGATTGACAAAACCATTCAATAATGTACTTAAATCATCGGTATCTACGTATTTATCCTACCTGAACTAGATAGCGATATGTAGGCTGTAATCTTGACCAGGTGCATAACCGACCTCCTTTGATAACGTTCCTCGTTTATAATTCCCCATTTGTCATTTGATCTCGAGACGCCATGTCAACTTTCTGGCTTTTACACAAATACGAAATATTCCTTTGACTCCCACCAACCTATTACATTTATTTATTTATTTGAACACATAAATATTGGCACAAAGGGGCACCTAATACATATGCGCCTTACAAGTCACTTGATTTATGAGTGAGCTGTGATACTACCCGGGTGCCCAGATCGAAGCAAGTGGTGTTCTTAGGGGCTGCATCCGGGGCGTTTGACCTAAAGGTCTGATCCACAAGGCAGTGGTGCAGCGTCAGGAGATGCAGCTCCTTGGTAGCCGGTGATCAACGATTGGTTCATACGCCATTTTTCCCTAAGGATCCTGGAGCCCATGTACACCATTGGTTTGGAACCAGGGTTTTCCAACTCCCATGGTATTAGTTGTTAATATCACAGTGGCTCACTAAGCCGTTTTCCGTAGTTACGTTCAATGTTTCGATCACCTTTATACTTGATAATATCATGTAGCAAATTGTACTCAAGTTGAGTATTCTATCATGTTAATTTAGTTAAATACAAGTTTTCGTAACGCTCATGTCGTGTTTATTATGTTTTGCCTGATTGGAAATAGAGTCAAGAATTCTGTGTCTTTAAAAATTCCAAGAATTCCAGTATTTTAATCTGTTTAATTATCTAAAATAGTTTTTAAAGAGATCTCGTAATCACATGGTTCCGAAATTTCTGTTGTTCTCATCATTTATTCAGTACTACTTGCTGCGGCTAGTAGTTCTCAACAACTTTTGAATTGACGTTGAATTAACGCAACGTAGGACCTAGTACATGTCCACATCGCTGCAAGTTATCACAACCCATTACCATAACGACATGATATTGTCAGGCCAAATCCTAGAGTAGTAAGGGTGGTAATTGTATCAAGGATTATAAGAAATATTAGGCAATAAAGATATGATTTTAGAGAATATAAATTACTGAGATAGAAAAAACTTTTACGAGGAATCTAGACACTTATGATCTAAGAGAAGACCAAGAGTTAATGCATCTGCGCCATTGCAAATGTCACGCAAAGTCTCTAACCGTTAGTTACAATACTCAAGCGGTTCCCAACCAGGTAATCTGCACCTACATGACCCAGTACAATAATCAGTGTCTTCATGAACTGATACCATGTATAATATCTATAGCTCTTACAATTAATTTGTTAAAAACCACCACCGAGGTCGTATCGGTCAAACTCTGGTATTTTGGCACTTTTTATTGACAAATAAAACCAAAGTTTAATTTCATAGCTGGAATTTGTGACTTATGTATTTTTTATTTGGAATCGTGTAAACCTGCAATCTGTTTAATCTGGCTTTATATAAATTTATGTTGCCCCCGGAATCCCCTACTGTATCCAAATACTTAGTATTTATTAAATAAATTATTGGTTTACTATTATTATTGTCATTATTATTATTACTATTATTTCGATGACTTACTTTTTAATTGTTTTATTTTACTCTCCAAGTGATTACATATTCTGCAACCGTTGTACTTCAAGCATTTATATTAACCACCATAGTTGTTATGTCTTTGATGTTGTACACACTGAATTCCAAGAAAGATTTCAGTAAATGGGGTGTTGGATTATCAGTTGCTTTCCTCATTTTACTATTAGTTGGACCCATTAACGTAAGTTGATGTAATTATTGTTGACATTTCCATTGTTTATTTAACATAATCTATCATTAAAATGCCCATTTGTACTAATTCTCCCACCATACTATCAACGCTGTGAGGCTGTTTGGGACAAAAACTAGTCTCAACTGTAAAACTACTAAGATATAGGGATACTAGATAGATATTTCATTTTGGTTTATTACTTATTATCAGTGTTCATTCACAGCCTCACATGCTATCGAGCTCATTTTCTCTAGATGATGTCAATCTGTGATGGAAATCTCCTTTGAAATATACTAAAATCTTCATTTAGAAAATCTACCTTAACAATATTGTATATAAGTCTATTATATACTTATATACTTATGTACAATATTGTTAAGGTAGATTTTCTAAATGGAGATTTTAGTATATAAGTGGCCAAACCAAAACATGGCATCAGTGCTTGAAGTCACTAACTTCTAGTCTGTGTCATGTTGGTAGATGCAGACTACTTGGTTGAGGTCCGCGTGACCGTCGTAACCAATGGTTGGAGACTTAGGGTGATACAGCTCAGAATCGACCACAATGGCGTAGGTGTATACACTTTCGGTCTTCCTTTAAACCGTGAGATTAAAATCTCTTCATATCTTTTTTTCTACGAACTAATTCTTTCTTCCTGTACTATGCCCTTAAATGCAATCTTTCTTTTATATATTACCACCATTGAATTAACTACTATTATGAATCCGGTGTTTATTTTGCTGTGCTAATGAGGTATGGCAACTTGAACCGATGCATAAATGTGCCTGATCCTACGTTGTAGCTGACTGACTGACTGTATATAAGTATTTGTAAGGTGATGCTTTTTTACATTCGTTGTAATCTGGAACGCAACTGTAATATGATGGTTCCTATGTAAATCTAACCCGTTTATCATATATAATGTTTATGTACTGAATTTTTTCCACTTCGTATATGTGAGGACTAGTGATATCACTTTAAATGCACAGACTGAAGTACATTAAGCGAGTTATTGGTTGTAAGATGGATGTTTTATTTGTTAAGCTACTGTAGACTATCTAGGATTCCTTAGTTATCAAGCTTCTGATTTCTTAAAATTCTATTGTCAAATCAGTCTTTCGTATTAAAATTGATTTCATGTTAGTTTAGAGTTCGAAAGTATCATTTATCAATACGAACATATTTACTCGATCCTACAGCAGGTTATTTGTGGCCCGAATAACTCGGCAGTAACGTCTCAAACTGTTAAGCTGAGGACATCAGTTTGAATCCTACTCAAGATTTCAGGTATGCCTAGCTGACATATACCAATTCGAAACCTAGATCCAGAGTTTCCTGTTGATTACCACCAACCACCTGCCGTCAGAGGAACACATTGAGATGTCGAGTCATTTGTAGTAGTGACCATATTGCAACTTGATCAATAGAATTTAATCAAAATTAAAGACTAGGCTAACATAAAATTATTATATTCAATGCAACCATACTCCATATAATTATTATAATATCACTAAGACAACGGTCTTAGTGATATTATAATAATTACGTAGTGCTTTTCAGTACAGCGCAATTTTAAATGATAATTTATTGAATTTTCAAACCAATCAAGCTGTATTTATAGTATGACATTGATAGTTGACATCTCATTATCGATTAACGTTTGGATTACCCTATTGTTTGTATTCTTGATTAAATTTTGATTAGTCTGTTATCATATGTGCAGATTGCCTGGATGTATAACCACTTCGTTTAATATCAACAACGTGTTAAGCTAAACATTTATCAATAGTGACATGAAAATCATACGCATTGAACAAGGTTGTGACTATTGTCCGTACTCGGTGACTCAGTGGATGACACGTTGGCGTTTTAAGTGATAGGTATTGAATTTGTGTCCCGATGTGAACATTAACACTCAAATTTAGGCAAGTAGGTAGGTACATCTTTCTGTCAAGTTCCAAATGAAATGAAGTGCGCCTACTGAATTTCACTGCTATCCATTGATTCTATAAGAATTGATAACTGATTTTGCTGTGTTTTATATTATTCCTCCATTCCCTGTATTTTTTCATTGTTTTTTGCTGTTTTGTGTTAAACACTCTTCATAGTTATTTCTAGGTTCATCATTATTGGAATTATGTATCGCAGCTGGTGGTGCTTGCTTATTCAGTTTATTCATAGTTTATGATACTTGGCGAATAATGCATCATTGTTCACCGGAAGAATATATTATGGCATGCGTTGATTTATACTTGGATATATTAAATCTGTTTATGTATATTTTAAGATTTTTAAAAGAACTACAACATAATCAAGGTTAATTAATTGGTTGTGTTCAGTAATTATTTACTATGAAATAAGCGTATTTGTGATTTCAATATTTATTATTCATCACACTTAAACCATATATTTATCTGTCCATATTTAACTGCTAATGACTAAGTCATAAATGAATTGTTTCCACTTTTTTTATGCACTACTATTACTACTACTACTGATTTCACAACTATTGGAAAGAAACTGACAAACTTTATCCTTGAATTGTCCCTTTCACATTTCTTGTTGCTGTTTTCCTCTTCGTCCTTTTTCTAATCCTTTTAAATTTCTCTTAGCTTTTTGACTGATCATATAAATGAAGTACACGAATGCGCCATACTAACTCGTGCATGTGTGTGTATGTGCATATTTCAATATTTTTTGTTTATCCTTTTTTTCAGTTGATAAAATTAACACTTTCTCAAACTATTGAATAATAAATGATTTATAACTCAACCACTACTACTCTTCTTTTAAAGACAATTATTTCAAGTCAGATATTGTCCCAAACTAATGAAGATCGAGAAAATGACTTCAAGTTTCATAGTAAATATCAAACTAACATATTGAATATCGACTGTATTATGATTAAGTTTAATGTATAAAATATCATTTAGTACTCACAAGGCTTTAAATTGTCCACAAAACAAGGAACATTCACTTGAGAGTGGAAATAAAATGATTGTGAATGAGGAATACGGAGTAGAACAATACTTCGCCTGAACGTATGTTAGGATTAGTATATGGGTTACAGTACATACATAAACTAACCCTCAATCATAAACAACAACCTTGATTCAGACTTTACAATGTAACCATTCAAGGCATATTTCCAAAGTAGAAATATTCATCAATCATATAAAACTAAGTAGTATTTCCACTCATTTTCTACCACAAAATTAATTATCCATATTTTCTGATTAGCTAGAGCAGTTCATGATCATTCGATAGTATAATTTATGCTGACCGGAAACTGTAATAACATTTGAAAGAATCATCTTACATTTATGAAACCGTCATTTATTTAAATACCGTTTTTATTATCTTGAAATTTATTCATAACCCTTTATTAGTTTGCGGCTATTCAATTCTATTATTGAAACTTATACTTACATATTGTTAATTATATTATGCGGTCCAGTTTATTTACTATATGCACATTCTGCGGTGTACCCATACCCACTGCAAATGTGAAAACAAATCACTGGGAAAGTTTTGACGGCTATTCGAATTATAATTCACGCAAATCACAAGTAAACTCCGCCTGGAGTCCCTCCAGGGGCTACTGCCGGTCCCAAGCCCGGATAAAGGAGGAGGGTTAGGCATGGGGTTAGCGTCCCCATCCCGTAGAAAACTAACTCGCTAAAAAAACGCTAACCAGAAAAAATTATTCAAACCTTTTAAATTCTGCCCTGGGAGTCAGAAGGTCTTCATTTAGAAGAATTATGACGCCTTATGATGAAAGCCGAATTCCTTCGGAAGTTATGAGGCCGATGCCCCTTCTGATAACCAGAGCAACCATTTATTTAGGTACATGGAATGTTCGTACAATGTGGGACACCGGAAGAGCCTTCCAAATTGCTGCAGAAATGAGAAGATACAACCTAGAGGTACTTGGAATCAGTGAAACACATTGGACACAAGTTGGACAACAACGACTAACTACAGGAGAGCTCCTGTTATACTCCGGCCATGAAAAAGAAAATGCACCACATACACAAGGAGTTGCATTGATGCTGTCTAAACAAGCGCAAAATGCACTTATAGGATGGGAATCTCATGGACCAAGGATCATCAAAGCCTCCTTCAAAACAAAGAAAGAGGGCATTTCAATGAACATCATCCAATGCTATGCGCCTACCAACGACTACAATGAAGACGCTAAAGATCAATTCTACAATAGGCTGCAGTCAATCGTCGAGAAGTGCCCTGACCTGACCTGACCATTCTGATGGGAGATTTCAACGCCAAGGTTGGAACGGACAACACTGGATATGAAGACATCATGGGACGACACGGACTGGGAGAAAGAAACGAAAATGGTGAGAGATTTGCAAATCTATGTGCCTTCAATAAGCTGGTCATAGGCGGCACCATATTCCCACATAAACGCATACACAAAACCACATGGACTTCACCGGATCACTCTACACAAAACCAAATCGACCATATTTGCATCAACAAAACGTTCAGGAGGACTATAGAGGACGTGAGAACCAAGAGAGGAGCTGATATAGCATCAGATCATCACTTACTGGTCGCCAAGATGAAATTGAAACTCAAGAAGCACTGGACAACGGGGCAGACAGTATCACAAAAGTTCAATACGGCCTTTCTCCAGGATACTAACAAACTCAACAAATTCAAGATAGTCCTCAGCAACAAGTTCCAGGCGTTTCATGATCTACTCAATGGAGAAGGAACTACTGTGGAGAGCAACTGGAAGGGGATCAAAGAGGCAATCACTTCAACATGTCATGAGGTCCTGGGTCACGAGAAGCACCACCACAAGGAATGGATCACTGTTGATACACTGGATAAGATTCAAGAAAGAAGGAACAAGAAGGCAGCAATCAATACCAGTAGAACAAGAGCAGAAAAAGCCAAGGCACAAGCTGAATACACAGAAGTTAACAAACAAGTAAAGAGGAGCATCAGAACCGACAAACGTAAATATGTGGAAGATTTAGCAACGACGGCGGAAAAGGCTTCAAGAGAAGGAAACATGAGACAATTGTATGACACGACAAAGAAACTCTCTGGAAATCGCCGCAAACCAGAACGACCAGTGAAAAGCAAGGAAGGCAAGGTAATCACCAACATTGAAGAGCAACAAAACAGGTGGGTAGAACACTTCAAAGAACTCTTGAATCGACCAGCTCCACTGAACCCACCCAACATCGAAGCAGCACTCACGGACCTCCCAATCAATGTTGGCCCACCAACAATTGAAGAAATCAGCATGGCCATCAGACAAATCAAGAGTGGTAAAGCAGCAGGACCGGACAACATCCCAGCAGAGGCACTAAAAGCAGACGTAGCGGCAACTGCAAGGACACTCCATATTCTCTTCAATAAGATTTGGGATGAGGAACAAGTACCAACAGACTGGAAAGAAGGACTTCTAATCAAAATACCGAAGAAAGGCGATCTCAGCAAGTGTGATAACTACAGGGGCATCACTCTTCTCTCAATACCGGGAAAAGTCTTCAACAGGGTATTGTTAAACAGGATGAAGGACTCCGTAGACGCCCAACTTCGTGACCAACAGGCAGGATTCTGTAAGGATAGATCGTGTACAGACCAAATCGCAACTCTACGGATCATTGTGGAACAATCAATTCAATGGAATTCATCACTCTACATCAACTTCATTGACTACGAAAAGGCATTTGACAGCGTGGACAGAACAACACTGGAAACTTCTTCGACACTACGGCGTGCCTCAGAAGATAGTCAATATCATACAGAACTCATATGATGGATTACACTGCAAAATTGTGCATGGAGGACAGTTGACAAAGTCGTTCGAAGTGAAGACCGGTGTTAGTCAAGGTTGCTCACTCTCACCCTTTCTCTTTCTCCTGGTGATCGACTGGATCATGAAGACGTCAACGTCTGAAGGGAAGCGCGGGATACAATGGACATCTAAGATGCAGTTGGATGATCTAGACTTCGCAGACGATCTGGCCCTTCTATCCCAAACGCAACAACAGATGCAGGAGAAGACAAACACTGTGGCAGCAGCAGTAGGTCTCAACATACACAAAGGGAAAAGCAGGATTCTCCGATACAACACAGCATGCACCAATCCAATCACAATTGACGGAGAAGATTTGGAAGATGTAAAAACCTTTACATATTTGGGCAGCATCATTGATGAACAGGGTGGATCTGATGCAGATGTGAAGGCGCGGATCGGCAAAGCAAGAGCAGCATATTTACAGCTGAAGAACATCTGGAGCTCAAAGCAACTGTCAACCAACACCAAGGTCAGGATTTTCAATACAAATGTCAAGACAGTTCTACTGTATGGGGCAGAAACCTGGAGAACTACAAAAGCCATCATCCAGAAGATACAGGTGTTTATTAACAGTTGTCTACGCAAAATACTTCAGATCCATTGGCCGGACACTATTAGTAACAACGTACTGTGGGAGAGAACAAACCAGATCCCAGTGGAGGAAGAAGCGCTGGAAGTGGATAGGACACACATTGAGGAAAGCACCAAACTGCGTCACAAGACAAGCCCTCACATGGAATCCTGAAGGTCAAAGGAAAAGAGGAAGACCAAAGAACACATTACGCCGAGAACTGGAGATAGACATGAGAAAAATGAACAAGAATTGGATGGAACTAGAAAAGAAGGCCCAGGACAGAGTGGGTTGGAGAATGCTGGTCAGCGGCCTATGCTCCATTGGGAGTAACAGGCGTAAGTAAGTAAGTAAGTAAATCACAAGTAGATAGACAATTGTCCTGATCCAAGCTAGGATACATAGGCTGAGATCTTCCAATGCAGTGCCTTGTTTACAACGTTTCACTTATCATTTGTTCTTAAAAGAATACATCAACCTACAAAATTTTACAAAGGCATTTAATGTATACAGAGTAACTCTTTAGATTTCTAACCACATAACTTGTAAGCAGTTAAACATAACTTGCTATCTTATATTTTATATTTGTCAGTATTGTTTATATTTGATAGCTTATCTATTTAACGTTAATGTTAAAGAAGTTCTCAAATTAATATACGATTATCTCTAAAAGTGTGATTAACTCTAAGGTTAATGTAAATGAAAATCTCGTCATACTGTAACTAATGATATAGTATACTTGTTACTATGTATTCCTATTGGTTGAGTTCATCATTGTGAAAACGTGTTCATTTTTCAACAAGATTATAAATTTCTTCAAAGTTATACATGAACATTTCTAACTATTGATTGCAAACATCCAATACTTTACTGTATCCTATAAAAATTAAATAAATGTTTTATGTAGTTTTACTGTAAACAGTCCTAATAGACTAACGATTCCTTTCTCAATTATTGTTGTTACTACTACTACTACTATCGATGATGATGATGATGATGCTGGTGAAATATTGCAATCATGTATTGTTTATTTTACAAAAAAATATACGAACTCCATATTCGTTGAAAAATAAAATGAGAACTAAGGTAAACATAATCGACCGCCCATTAACATACTTAACCATACATATACATATATTTGTAAAACTTTAAACACATTGATTGAATTTTCATTGATCAATATATGTGGTGGATTAGCGCTTTATTCAAGGTGTTACAATATAGAGAGAGAAAGAGAGAGTAATATACTTATGTAAAGAAGCATAATTCTATATAAAAATAGATCCAAGTTTAAGTAACATTCAAGACGGTTGTTAAGAAAACTGCTAACACTTATACATTTAGTTAATTCAATATTCTGTTAA